TGGGGGTACAACAGACCAGACAAGCCCCTTCCCCCATGGAGCTCACCTTCTATGGAGAGAAGACAGACAAAGAGCTAGATGTGATGTCAGCCACAAGTGTCATGAGGAAAAGATAACAGGGACAGAGCAGAAAATGGAGACACATGTCTTCAGTGTCAACAAGGGTCTGAGCAGTGCCTGTGAGCATTTATGGACCTCAGGAGCCAGGAGCCAAGAGCCAGGAGCCAGGCAGGCACCTGGGAGTTTAAAGAAAGGAAATAAAGTCATAGGTGCTAAAGTATTGGTGGCCATGCTGCTGCACTTGACCATAGGACACTAAAACACACACACACACACACACACACACACACACACACACACACACCAAAGCTGAGAGATGAACAGACCTGCTCAGGACCCAGAGCCTTATCTATTCATCCCAATACATAGCTCCAAATATTGATCAGTTTTTATCTTCCTTCCTAGCCTCACTCCTCAACCTCTGGAGCCTGCCCACCACTGCCCAGCCCACTATTGAATCCGTGTTGCCCAATGCTGCCAAAGGGAAGGAAGTGCTTCTTCTTGTCAACAACCTGCCTGGAGATCTTGGAGGCTACATCTGGTACAAAGGGGAAATAATAGACAGCAACCTTCAAATTGTATCATATGAAATAATCACAAAAACAATTACCCATGGGCCTGCATACAGCCATCGAGAGACAATGTACCCCAATGGGTCGCTGCTGTTCCAGAAAGTCACCCTGCAGGACACAGGATACTACACCCTACAAGCCATAGAGAAAATGTATCAGAGCAAACAAGGAACTAGACAGCACCATGTATACCCTTAGTGATTGCTCTCTGTCCTCTGGGTGTCGGGTGGGGTATATTCTATTTCACACACAGGACTGACAGTCTTGGACTCATTCTGCCTCCATCCTCCTCTGCCTCACAATTCAGGTTGAGTTTGGGCATTTAGTTCAGGACACACACAGTGGAGACAAGCTTCCTAAGGTCAGAGTTCCCTTCCAGGATTCCAGCCCTACAGACATTCTCCACAGAGAGAAGCCTGATGGGAGTGACTCAGCAGAAGGAGTCTCAGCAGAGGGAGACCAGTCACAATCAGACCTCTGGGCCCCTCCCATGGCCATGACCCAGAGAACAACCCTGCAAGGCTCATACAGGGCCTGACATGGAAAATCCTGGGATCCTTACAAAGAACCCTGGGATTCTTACACAGAAACCCTGGCAGCTCTTCCCCACCACCCCTCCCCCAAACCTCTGTCCCAGAGATCCTGACTCCAGGAAACCCAAGGAGCATCTGGGCAGTTGGGTTTGATCTGTGGGCAGGCCTGACTAGAAGCAACAATTTCCCAGGTGCCCAAGTCACAAGGCTCCTGAGGTGGTCACTAGCCAGGGCTCAGCCTCAGGAGCCACATCTGGGGAGGGATGGAGCCTGCCCCTTCACCTGAGACCATGTGTGGGGAGTACGTGGACAAGGTCACAGGCCATTAGCCAACTGCCTGGGGAACATAGGAAGGAAGAGGAAAATAGTCTCCCCAGGGAGGAAAAGAGAAGATGTTCCTCAAAGCTCTTAGTCCACCAGGGATCTGTGCAGGGCATCCTCTCTCACAGACGCAAATAATAACAGAGGCTGTTAACTTTGGAAGCTCCTCTATTCCAAGCTTTAGTTTAGGAAATTGTGGAAAATTCAAGGTTCATTCACAGGCAGCATGGCAAACCTGAGACCATTTACCATTTATCCTGATTTATTCAGGGAAAACTGAGTTACAGTCACTCAATCAGAATCACACAGACTGGCTGACCCATGTGAGTCATGCCAAGGCCTCTCCTCCACTCCAAGGACCTTTATATGCTCACTGCACCCCAGACTCGTGACTCACAACCTCATCCTGGTGGGAGGCGCCCATTCCTCCCAGTGGCTCCTGAGACCTTTCCCAGGTGGGCCTAGTGACCCTGGACCATCTGACTGGTTCATTGACTATTTCACACACATGTCCTCATGATGACACCATGACCACAGGGTGGGATCCTCTCAGATGTTGAGATGCACCAGCCACTCTTCTTTCTCTTAGATCCTGCCCAACTTGAATGAATTTGACTAAACTCCAATTGTTGTTTCCTGAGTTAGAAAGGAAAGGAAGTGCACATGCCACATGCTTGTGTGGGGACTCCTCCCCATCTGCCTGACTGTCCATAGACGTTCTCCCTAACTTTACTAGTTCTTTGGAGCATGAATGATTTTCACATATTCTTTCACAGTTCAACTCAAAATCTATCTCTGCCAAACACAATGGGTCCATGAGGGCCATATTTTCAGCAAGTTCATGCTCCTCCACCTCCACAAGCCCCCCTTCTGTACATGCTATTGTCTGCATGTTGAGGAAGGATCGCTGCCCTCTGCAGTGGCAGAAAGCACATTACAGACCAAGGGCAGAGAGCATGGCTCTGCTGCCACCGCCAGCCAGCTCCTGCTGTTCCTCACCCTTTTCTAAATCATTCCTGGACTTTGCTCTGCCCTTTCTGGGGTCACTGTCTCATGTCAGTCACCAGTGAACTCCTGGGCAGACAGCCAACCTCGTGGCCCTGCAGCCTGGGTACTGAACTTACAGCCAGACTTGCTTCTGGTCTCCTGTGTACTGTTTCTGCTCAGATAGCCCATTCCAGGCCACACGGCCCAGTCCTCTCGGGGTTTAAGGACTATGGGGTGGCCCATCATTGCTCATCTTTAGGTTAAACCTGGAATGGGAGGCTTCAGTGGAAACACATCTCGACCCGGCAATGTAGGTCTGTGTAGCTGAAAGGGACTCAACACCTGCACATTCCAGGTGAGACCCAAGGTCAGCCAGGCAGTCAGCTGCTCAGTGAGGAACCAGGACAGGTGCCGGGTGGTCTCTGACTCCCAGTCCTGTGTCTTTCTGTGATCCAACCCTGACTGTTGTCAGACACCTGAGAAAGCCTAGACATAGAGCAGGCAACCTTACGTCCTCTGAGAGCTCAGCACCTCATGCATTTGTTTCTCTTGTGATGCACAGACCTGCCTTATTCTTTAAGGCTGAGAGGTAAGAGATGTCAACTCTGATGAAAGAAGCCTTTGGAGGAATCCAAGGTACCACACAGGGCAGTGCTCTCTCTGTTACCTGCACAGAGGATTTCCCAAAACCCAGCATCACAAGAAACAACTCCAACCTGAGGAGCACAAGGACCCTGTCATGTTAAGGTGAACCTGACTCTCAGGATACCACCTACCTGAGGTTTACAAATAGTTCATCTCCACACCAGTGCCAGGCTGCAGCTGTCCAAGGGCAACAGGACTCTTCCTTTACTCCCTGCCACAAGAAAACAAACAAGACCCTCTGAGTGTGAAACCCGTAACACAATGAGTGCCACCCACAGTGACCCATTCACCCTGAATGTTCTCTGTGAGTAACCTCTGTCCCTGCCTGGGCCAGGCTGCCCACCCAAATCCACACTGCCAGAGGCCAAGCCACTTCCATCCCTCTCACATCCACGTACACAGACCCACACTCTGAACACATAACTTCCTATCTAGGCAAAGCCAGGGAGGCCTTGAGGTTGGAACAAACAGGTTAATGTCTCACACTCAGGCTCAGTAAACACAAGGGTTATTGTCAGATCTTTTAAAAATCAGGCTAGGGGTGAGGTTGATGTGGAGTAGAGGGGTCAATGAGGAACAAGGGAGACTTCAATAATATTTTCATTAGTAAAGATAAATTTATATCTATATGTCTATCTGTCTATATGTCTATCTATATCTATATCTATATATCTATATATCAATATATCTATATATTTATATATCTATATATCTATACATATACATATATACATATATATCTATACATATACATATATACATATATACATATATAAGAGGTGTAAGTTTCATGATAGCTAAAATTAACCACCAACACCTTCATCGTTTTGTTTGGAGGGGTAGGGAGAATCTATGTGTGGGACATAGAGGGTTTTGCACATAAACAGCCATTGCTTCAGAGGGCAGTTCTTCTAACTTGTTTTAGAACTTCTCTTGGAGCAGAAACATTTGGCAGTGATGGTATCTACTAGGATACCTCAGTGATGGTATCACTGAGGAAGTGTCAACAGGCAGGTCATTCTCTGTATTTCGGTAGCAAAAATCAAGTAGCAGAGACATGCATTTGGGTAGAAATTTCTTACATTACATGCATCCCAATAGCTGTTTCATTTACTGCAAGTTGTAAAATGGATCTATTAAAAAATCTACATACAGATGGTGCAAATTGTTCAATAACAGTTTGCAAATTCCATGTTTTCCTCTGATAAGGAAAAAATCATTCCATTTCACATTCACACGAGTGTTAGGAAGTCTTCTTTAGACCCCAGAAAAATAATTTAGGCAAGGGTTCTATATAACACTTACCAGTATGTAACTCAAATAGATTGTTAGTGTGCCTTGAAATGGACCTAAAAAACAAACAAACAAACAAAAAGGCCGAAAAACAGCTCAGAGGGAGAGTGTGGCCCTTACACAGACCCAGAGAGTAGGACCTTCCCTTCCCTCTGATTACATCATGTGTGGCTTTGTTCTCTTTCCTCCAGATGCTCCTGATCTCCCCACCACTTTCCTTTCAAAGGACCCTTACCTTCCGGGCGCAAACCTCAGTCTCTCCTGCCACTCCGCCTCTAACCCACATAAACAGTATTCTTAGTTTATCAATGGGAGGCCCCAGCAACCCACACAGAGGCACTTTATCCCCAACTTCACTTCAGGTGATAGTGGTGCTAAAACTACAGATGTCCTGAGAACAGATCAGGGTTCATCCTGTGGTAATCTAGAGGTAAGAGGGAATATAACCCCTCACCTGAACAAAGGTCCTCACCCTCAGAGGTCAGAGTCCTCCTCTGGTGACCTTTACAGAGATCACTGTGGACTGTGAGTGGCTGACATCTGTGATGAAGGAGCCCACTCTGTCAGTCACCTCCTCTGTTCTCCACAGAGCCAGTGAGGAAGCCCGCCCTCCAAGCCAGCAATGCCACAGTCACAGAGCATAAGGAAGCCGTGGTCCTGACCTGCCTCTCAAATGACACTGGGATCTCCATCCGGTGGCTCTTCAAGAACCAGATTCTATCTCACAAGGACAGGAAGAAGCTGTCCCAGGGCAACAGCATCCTCACCATTGACCCTGTCAGAAGGGAGGATGCTGGGGGTTATCAGTGTGAGGTCTTCAACCCCATCAATTCCAGCAAAAGTGACCCCTTCAGGCTGGACGTACAATGTAAGTGACTCCTTGTCCCCTCCTAAGTCTCTCTGGGAGGATTGTTCTATCAATAGTGTGATAAATGGATAGAAGACACATGGGCAGAATGTCAATCAGGAGACAATTACATATCAATTACAGCCAAGATGGAATTAGACATATAAATATTTATTTGGAAAAAAAATCCCTGTGAAGGAAAGGAAGTGGGAGGAGTCTGGCACATTCCTCAGTCAAGGATGCAAATCTAGTTATTGTTTATGAAAAGAAAATAAATATATAGGTTGCAGTGCCATCATTTTTATTTGTATGTTTGTCTTTTACCCATCTTTGTGAATTAACTTTGGAGGACAACAAGCCATCTGAATGAAAAGTTTTAAAACTATGAAAGATTATTATGTAAGAACTAGAGGTCTGGGGCATGAAATTCATGCATGGGAAGGGGCCCTCAGCCCAGCCTGCTCCCTCTCCAATCCAGGACCCCTCAGGGAATATCGGACTGCTGGTTTAGGCCCGATCCCTGGAACATCCCTCTCACAACTGAACCACTGGTTCTTAATTGCTCACCTGCCTGCCTGCCTGGTCACCCATAACTGTTCCTCACTGGAATGATCGCCCCTTACTATCTCTGTGTGCTGGCCTGATTGCCCTTAACTGTCCCCTGCTGCCAGCCAGGTAGCCCCCAACTACCCACTCCCTGCTGGCCTGGTCTCTCCTAATTGCTCTTCCCCTGCCTGCCTGGTCACCTCTCACAACCCTACCACTGCCCTGGTCACCCCATGCAGCCTGCTGTTCAGTCATTTGGTCATTCCTCACTACCTCCCAGGTGACCTGGTCGCAGGCAGCCATCTTGCGAAGGTGTGAGGGTTAATTTGCATATTACCTCTTTATTATATAGGATACTTAGAGAGCATTTAAAGAATTGAAAATTACTGTTTAGCTGGCAAACTAAAGAAAAAAACTCCTGATATTCAGTCCCTTTCAGACAATTATTTTCAAGCTTTAGTTTGCACAGGAGATCTTTATGGTGCTCCTAGACTCTGCCCATAAAAAATCTGATTCAGAATGTCTGGAGTGGGACCCAGAAGTTTGCATTTTTAGAAAACATCCCAAAGAGTTTTATTATAGATGATCTTTGAAATACAACATTTGGACATGCTGTTTTTAAGGTCTTAAGTAACTCTAGACAACATCTGTAGACAAACAATAGGCCTAGCGTAGTGTTTTCTTCCTAGAATCTCTGTGGATCTCATGCAAAAGTCAAAGGAACACAAACTCATAAGATTCAGTGACTATGGAGCTAACGACCCCTCTAACCTAAAGAGCACTTCCAATTGTCCATAAAGATTATCAAGGATGAATATCTGTAATGACCAACCCATTACTTTCACAAGAGGACAGTAGGAGGCTGCCCTTTAACTCTGCCGCCTGGGATTTTGGAAGCTCCAATCGCTTTCCTAAAATGTGATCTTTCTCCATGAGCCCTGGGTTTATGAGGTGAGAACCTATCACTTCCCAATGCACCATCTCTCTGCTAGGTCCCCTCGGGCATCCCTATTTCCAGGAGGGAATGCTGTGGACAAAACAAAAGTGTTAGTGGTGACTAAATGGGATGGAATCATCTACTTCTGAAGGAATTACATGTGCCCCTCTCGGGATGGTTGGAGAGCACATGCCTGTTTCAGGTTAGAAAAGGGAGCTGGGGGCTCACAGACTGCCTGAACAGCAACATTTCCACAACCTATGTCAGTGCGCCTTCTGGTTTGCCACCACCCTCCTTAAATGGAAACTCTTTTTTCATGGTATAGGAGCTGGCAGAACTTTTTGCTCTAACATGAATAGAAAAAAAATTCTCCTGCACAAGACACTTTTAGGTTTATTTGGGAAGTTAAGTCTCAGGAAGAGACCTGTTTTAATTTTTTTTAAATCAACCCTGGAAGTAGTGAAGGGAAGCAGGATGGACAATATCTTTAGTTCCCCGGCAGCTCTCATTTTAGACATGTTGAAAACACCTCCAGTGCCACCTTTTTTTAATGTTTAAAATTTTTTCTTTTTATTTTAGAGAGAGCAAAGAGAGGGAGAGACAGAGAATTATTGATCAGCTGCTTCTTGCTCTCCCCCTACTGGGGATCCAGTCATCAACACTGGCATGTGCCCTGACTGGGAATTGAACTAGTGACCTTTTGGTGCAGGTTACGATGCTCCAGCCACTAAGCCACACCCACTAGGGCTACAGTGCCTTCTAAGAGAGTACCTGAAAGGCTGATGGTGAGTCCCTGAGCTAAAGTTACCCCCAAGATGAAAACCATTGCTCACAGCATTGGGTTTATTTCAAATTCCTGCTGGGAGCCTGTGGGATGTCTGTGCAAAGCAGGTGGTGCATTCACCAAGGAAACCGGACTAGCACATGTTCATGGCGGCCACACCTGGTACAGAAAAAACATGCTGCCATGAAAGGTGGGAAGTTATCAGCTTTCTTACCTTTCAAAAGTTCCAAACATATCTCAGTGCAAAGAGGCCAGGATGGAATTGTGGCAAATTTGGGCACCAACCTAGAAATACAGTGAGAGAAAGAATTACAAGGATATAGTGAGCTATTTACCTCACAGAAACCCTCCCAGGGGAAACTTCTTCCTTGCAGGAACAAGTAGACACTACTTCATGTTGAGAGTTGTTTCCCAGGGCACCCCCACTGTAGAATAACATCCCCCCACTCATCCTTCTCTTTTCTATCCATGACAGATGATCCAACACTACCAAGTCCTGGCCTCTCGGATGGGGATATTGTTGACATCATGGTTGGCACCCTGATTGGTGTAGTTCTGATAGCAGCCCTGGTGTGCTTCCTGTGTATCAGAGAGACTAGAGGGTATGATGGCCCTCCCTCTTGTCCTGCTTCCTCCAAGACTGACGACCATGTTTGGGAGAGGGAAGGAGACTTCCTCCCTGTCTCTGGGCCTGGATCTGCTCCTCCTCCTTCTCAGCACTGATTCCTGAGGCCTCTTCTTTATTGGTCTTTAAGTTTCCTATACCCCTCTCCATTTGGGACATGGTTATTCGCATCCCCCTCTGGGGGGAAGATCTGATTATGTTCCTTGGTCCTAGAGTCAGGAAAACCAAGGCCCAAGAAGGAAAACAAGTCAGTAAATGAAAAAAGGAGCAGGAGAAAGCAAGTTGTGTGCTCTGTCAACCATAGAAAGAGGAGAAGAGAGGGGAAGGATAGGAAGAGAACTTTAAAAAGAAGCTGGGACCAGACCAGCCAGTGTTGCTCAGTAGATGGCATTAACCCATGAACCAGGAGGTCATAGTTTGAATCCCAGTCAGGGCAAATGCCTAGCTTTCAGGCTCAATCGCCAGTAGAGGCATGCAGGAGGCAGCTGATGGATGATCCTCTCTCATCATTGATGTTTCTATTAAAGCTGAAGTCAAAGGCCTTTTGGATAATAAATAAAGTAAGAATGAAAACAGAATCAACAAAACCACAAGGTGCCCACATTTAAATAGGCTCAAAAGCAATTGATAAATAATAGACCTTTGTGCCCTGGCCAGGTGGCTGGGTTGCTTGGAACATGGTCCCATAGAAAGGTTGCAGGTTCCATTCTCTGTCAGGGCACATACCTAGATTGAGTATTCTATCTGCAGTTGGGATCTATCTCCTCTCTTTCCCTTCCTCTCTCTGAAATTAATAAACATCAGATGAGGATTTTTTTTTAATGGACCTGTGTGAACATCAGGGCATCAGAAAAGGAATACACACTGGAAAGGACGGTGGATACTGAAGAGGAGCCGTAGGAGGAAAGGCAATGCTGACTTTGGTATAAATGATCTGTCAGTGTCCTTCCTACTTCAAGGAGGAAAGAGCCTGTGCTTGGGAATAGCAGTCACAGTCTCTGATATTTGTTTAGGGCAAGCGACCAGCGCGATCTCACTGAGCACAAACCCTCAGCCTCCAACCACAGTAAGTAAAGCCATCACCAGTGACAGCTGGTGTGTTCCACCATGCGCCCTGCCCTAGCAGGGAAACCTGGTCCCAAGGACTCAGTACCTTCTGAACTTTTAGAGGGGATCTCCATTTCCCAACATTAGGTTGCCATGGGTCCTCACACTCTTCTAGTCACAAAAGATCCCCCTGAGACCCAGCCCTGGGAGAGACTCACTCAGCCAGACCTGGCAGGCCTGAGAAAGATAGACATGTTTTCCAAAGCCATACCTCACCTTACACCTTCCCCTCCTTCTCTATTAGGGATGTGGGCACTCTCCTTTGGTGAGACTTTCCCTGTCTTGTGGTGCTTTGGGTGCTTTCCCTCCTTGCCAGGGGTGCCTGTTGCTGAGAAACACAACTGGGCAAAAACAACGTCTTGTGAGCTGGGGGGTGGGGGGGTGGGGATGTTGGTACTAACACCCTGGGTCTGGACCACAGATTCTGAGAGAAGAGAAGCAATTCCCTTAAGTAATCATGGGCCACATCCCACCCCCTCCAACCACCTGCCACCTCCTTCAGCTAGAAATCACAACAGCTTAGGAACACCAAGACTGTACAGTAATGTCAACTTAACATTTTCATGAATTGCTAACTCTTTCAACTCCAGGTGAGGGCCACTCTGACAACCCATCTGACAAGCTAAGCACAGCCAGTTTCACTGGCTCATTTTCTCATGGACATACTTCTATAGAGAGTGGGTTACTCTTGAAGACAGAAATGCGATCAAGTTTGAATCAAAGTTCCTCAATTAGCAACAAACCAAGATGTTTTGGTTAACTATTCCCATGGGCCTACTTCATGCAACAGTGTGGGCTCTGGAGTTAGAGCCTTTGTTTGCATCCTGGCAGTAAGTGTGTGTTCCTCTGTGACCTTGGGCAGGTAACTTAATCTCTCTGATCTTCACCCTGTCAACTGTAAACACGAAATGCTGCATACTTCAGAGAGCAGCTGAAGGAATGAAATGAGATAACACGTGCAAAGCACCAGCACAATGCCCAACATAAGGAAGGCACTGGGCATTCTCCCTCCTCTACATTCAATCTGATCCTGTTCTCCCCGTCAAGGGATAATGTCCATTCCAATGGGTCTAAGGTCTTAGTTCCTTCACTTGACAATAACTTCACTGAGCTTCTCTCATTTAGCCTTTCAATAGAGCACACATATGTGTTGAAAAGTGCTTAAAGCATATGTATATGTTAACAATGAAAAATTATCACAAGTTGAGCACACCCTGGTAAGGAGCACTGAAATGGAGAAACAGAACATGTCATCTCCCTGCAAAATGAAACCTTCCAGTCACTTCTCTACAAAGAGTAACCACATCCTGACCTCCAATGCGCTAGATTATTTTTGCCTGTTTATGCTCTTACATTAAATAACACAGTATACCCTTTTATGTGTGTTGTTTCTTTCATTCAAAATGGTTTCATGAAACTTATCCATATTGTGGTATGCATTTGTAGTTGTTCATTCTCATTGTAGTATCCTCTTCCATTGTATGAATAGCATAACTTATCTTCTTTTTAAAAAAAATATATTTTATTGATTTTTTACAGAGAGGAAGGAAGAGAAGTGGAGAGGTAGAAACATTGATGAGAGAGAAACACAGATTAGCTGCCTTCTGCACACCCTCCACTGGAGATGTGCCCGCAACCAAGGTACATGCCCCTGACCTGAATTGAACCTGGGACTCTTCAGTCCGTAGGCCGACGCTCCATCTACTGAACCAAACTAGTTTCAGCAGCATTATTTATCTTCTAATGGTCATTCAAAGGATGACAGCAGGCAGAGAAAATAGAAAATAAAAATCCTCCAAAGCTAGAGGTTTCAAAGTGCTGCCTAATCACAGGAGGCAAGGTGAGAGGGCCTGACCTGGGACACTGATTTAATCGACCACTTCTCATCCCTTTCAGATCCATGAAGTTACATACACTTTGCTGAGTTTCAGTGGCCAAGAATCAGAGACCAAAGTCAGCCTCCCTATCCCCAACAGCCACAGAACCAGTTTATTCAGAAATTTAAAAAAAAGTAACTGCAACCAGCCCTGCTCATGACACTACTAACTGATTCCAAGTCTCATCTCCATCACTAAGAGACTCCTTTGCCCTCAGGGAAAAGGAGAGGATGGGACCACAACCTTGGAAGATCACACCTAGAAAAGCACACCTGGAAAGCCTCCCCCCTATTTTCACACTCTGCCTCCCCCCCCCCCGCTTAATTTGTCATGAGGCAGTTCCAGGCTCTGGCTCACAGCCCCTCCCTTTGGTGTCAACAGCTGAAAGGGAGTCTGTAGGAAGCCCAGCCTTCCTTTGCATTGAAATTTGGCTCATTAAATTAGTATCAGAACCAACAATGTACAGAGATGGCTCTTTAAAAAAGCAAACTGAAACCGGTTTGGCTCAGTGGATTGAGCATCCATCTGCGGACTGAAAGAGCATGTACATTGGTTGCAGGCACATCCCCGGTGGGAATTGTGCAGGAGGCAGCTAATCGATGTTTCACTCTCATCGATGTTTCTAACTCTCTCCCTTCCTATCTGTAAAACATCAATAAAATAGCCGAGATCAGTTTGGCTCAGTGGATAGAGCATCGGCCTGCAGACTAAAAGGTCCCAAGTTCAATTCCAGTCAAGAGTATGTACCTTGGTTAAAATAAATACACACACACACACACACACACACACACACACACACACACACATATATATATATATATATATATATATATATATATATATATATATAATAAAAAAGCAAACTTCTGACTAAATTGTTAAGAAAAAAATGAGAGTGAGCACAATAAGCAATATTAGGAGTAAAAAAGGAAACAATGCCAGGAGGCAATAGGAGGACATTAGGAGCATCCGTATTGCAAATATTTGAAAATTCAATTAAAAGAATACTTAGAAAAAGAAAATGAAACCAAGAACTCAGTCAAAAAAAGAAAGAAAAGTGTGAGTAGCCCTATTAACCAATAGACAAACTGAGTTTGTATTTTTAATCCTTCCAATAAGGGATATATATAACCTAGATTATTTGACAGGGAGTTTTCCAAATATTCAAAGAACAATTAATTCTATTCTTACACATGCTCTTACAGAAAACAGAAGAGAACACTTCCGGAGCACTGATTGTGTGGCCAGTATAATGTTGACCACCAAATCAGAAGAAACTTGCTAGACATGAGCAGAACAGAGACAATGAGCCAGGTATAGAGGTTCACCAGGGCAGAAAGCTCCAGATGACTAGCAAGGGGCACAACTGAGAAAACAGGAACCTATCCTCCCCTAACATATCATTGGTCATGCGGTTTGGACCTGGGATCTTTCACATCGCTAATCAGGCACTTTAGACCCCCACCCCCACCCCGACCTTTTCCTCCCTAAAGATAATATCTAGGCTTCAGTTGCATTTCAGCTCCAGGCCCAGAAATGAAGAAAAACTAGACAAGTGATACAGGGCTACCTCAGGACTAATAACTTCCTGCCCTGGCACTGACTAATCAGTGGGAACCACAAGCCTAATAGAGTACACCTAGGAAGCTGATTCATATTCTATAAAGACCCTCCTCTGAAACCTCCCCTAAGATTTCCACCTGCAAGAAACAGATAAATATGCTCAGGATAAAGGACCCCATGTGCACTCTCCCTCTAAGGAGCATGCCCTTCCCATTCTCCCCCACCCTCCAAGCACGTATCCCTCAACCTCTAAGGGACCCTGTGAGACTTGCAACCAGGGAAGCAATGGGCAGCGGCAGCTTGTCCCAGGCTAAGCCCCTGAACCTTTCTCCAAGGCCCCCTTTTCTCTGACTTATCAGAGAGTCAGAGCAGCCCAGCCTAGGCTTCTATTTCATGGGAGGAATCAAAGAGATGGGATGGGAAGAAACAGGTAAAATGCAAGTTCCTGATATCTTGTGTGTGTGTGTGTGTGTGTGTGTGTGTGTGTGTGTGTGTGTGTTAAGTTGCATGTGTTTCTTATATATTTTTCTCTTCCCTGGCTTTATTAAGGTATATTTGACAATGACAATTGTATACCTTTAAAGTATATAACTTGATGATTTGATATACATTGCTAAATAATCATCACACACTACGCAATTAACATATCCATCAACCTACATAGTTATCTTTTGCTTGTGTGTGTATGTGCGTGGGCTTTTTAATTTAGTTTATTAGGATGACATTAGCAGATGTGTCATTGTTAAATATCTTCTCCCATTCAATAGGTTATCACATTCCCTATGCTGTGCTTTACAACCCCATGACTACTTTGTAACCACAAATTCGATCTTGTTAATTCCATCACCTTTTTCACCCAGCTAACCAATCCCCTATCTGGCAACCATCAGTTTGTTCTCTGTATCTATTGTATAAGTCTGCTTTTGTTTTATTTGTTCACTTATTTCATTCATCAGATTTCACATTTAAGTAAAATCTATTGGTATTTGCTTTGTCTGACTTATTTTACCCAGCATTATAACTTCTTGGTCCATCCACGTTTTTGCAAATATAAGATTTCATTTTTTACGGCCAAGAATAATCCATTGAATATATGTACCACCTCTTCTTTATCCAGTCATCTCTTGTGGACACTTAGGTTGGCGCAATATAAATAATGTTGCAAGGAACTTAGGAATGCATATATTTTATTTTTAGTTAGTGTTTGGGATTTCTTAGGATAAACACCAGATGTGGCATTGCTGGGTCATATGGCAGCTCTAATATTATTTTTTTTATGAACTTCCACACTGTTTTCCATAGGGGTTGCACCAATTTGCAATCCCACCAACAGTGGACAAGTGTCACCTCTTCCCACAATCTGGCCAACTATTTTTATTTGTTTATCTATTTATTTTTAATATATTTATTTTAATTTATTGATTACAGTGTTATATATGTGTCCTTATTCCCCCATCACCCCCTCATACCCTCACCCGCCTGTTGTCTGTGTCCATTGGTTAGGCTTATCTACATGTATATAAGTCCTTTGGTTGATCTCTCTCCCTTACCCCCACCTTCCTCTACCACTCCTCTGAGGATTAATGGTCTGTTTCTCTGTCTCTGGGTCTATTTTTGTTCATCAGTTTATGTTCTTCATTATATTCCATGAATGATTGAGATCATGTGATATTTATCTTTCTCTGCCCAGCTTATTTCACTTAGCATAATGCTCTCCAGTTCCATTCATGCTGCTGCAAATGGGAAGAACTCCTTTTTTACTGAAGTGTAGTATTCCATTGTGTAGATGTACCACAGTTTTTTAATCCACTCACCTGCTGATGGGCACTTAGGCTGTTTCCAAATCTTAGCTATGGTGAATTGTGTTGCTATGAACATAGGGGTGCATATGTCCTTTCTAACTGGTGTTTCTAGTTACTTGGGATATATT